TTTCCCGGAGATAAACAATTTACTTATGTGCTGGAATATTGGCAAGCCGGAGACTACCAATTCCCATGCTAGTCTGACCAATTTGGACATTTATAATTAGGTCAATTGCTGGACTAGGGTGCTTGCCTACATCTACAGCTGAGAAATAAAACAAAAACTTTACTATAAAAGCATAAACACTCCCCTTCTAACACCTATATACTCCAGACAAACTTTGAAAGTTAAATATGAAACAGCAAATAGAGGACTGCTGAAATAGTGCCACTGGAATGTCTAGATGACACTTTATTTAAAACCTTTAAATTTAATATTGTTACTGTTAGTAACATTTCGATGGTCCGAACTGCTGTGACCATGACAATTGGCACAATCTGTCAGACAAAGTTCTTTGATTGTTTGAATTAAATATACAAAATGTATGATAACTGGTAATCTTTAAAGACCCAGATCACAAGCATTAGTTTGAACGTTTTCATTGTAACTGAGTGTCTACATTAGGGCTGCGGACCGGTACACTGTACCGGTCCAATACCGTAAAAATCGTTTCGGTACAGGTCCAAAATACCGGATCATGAAGTAACGAGTATATACCGAAATAGCTAGTTTACACCATGTATATGACTAAAGATAGGTAAATCCTACCACAAAGACGAAAAATTAGCACTGGAAAAGACGTAAACACCGTCGATTGATTTGAGATCCTCAGTCTCACGAGACATCGCGAGAGTGTGGCTGATCCAGGGTTGTGATTGGAAGATACTGACAAGTTGTCAACACTTTATTATTGTTTCTGTGTCATGATTGAAAAAGTGAAGAACACGTGTTAATGTGTCAAATTGTTCAGGTACAGGTACAGGTCCGGACCTGTACCTAAACCTCTGTACCGGTACCTGTACCTGTACCTGATGTTACGTTTAGGTACGCAGCCCTAGTCTACATGTCTAAATCCTTATCTTCGGTGTTCGTCTGACTACTACTAGTAACCAGCAGGAGGTTGGTCTGAGTTATCAATAATGGTTCGTCCTTATTCTGTATTGAATCCAACAGTTTGTGTGCTTATGACAGGCTTCGGGACGATTTGCCCAATGTCATTTTTGCCCCAACTATTTACTATGACTTAGGGTAGCCGGAGCTATTTTTTATACAGGTGATATACGCGTAAATCATTTCTTTAGATGCTACTTAAGCCTTGTGACTATATTTTGACTTTCTCTTCTGTGTTTACTGCCAAATCCCCAATAAACAGTCCAGGTGCACGGCGGCTGATATGCGACCAGAACAGCCGCTGAATCTGAGTGCGCCTGCTTTCTGTAACGCACATAATTATACGGTAATATTACTTATTAGACTGCTAAGAAACACCTACAAATCTACTTCGTCTTTGTGAACATTCTTTTTTATTCTATTAAATTTCTTAATAAATCTTGCCATAATCTAGTGTTTTCACAAACAGCACTGTCTGTCCGGGATTCGGTGGCGGGCCTGGTCGCATGTTGGGCCACCACGTACCCCAAGTGTTCATCAGCATCAAATACTTGCCCGAACACAGAAGAGATACTAGTCAAAATAAAGTTAGGCTTTGGAAACAAGGCTTTGAAAGCATCTAAAGGATTATTCAGGAGTAGGATACATGTGTGGTAACCTGTATAAAACATATTGTTGGTCACCTTACTAAACATGCATGGGGCGAAGTGCCGTAGTAAATAAGTAGTTGGGGCGAAAGTACATACATGGTGCGAATCGTCTAGAAACCCTTAGGACATGCTTATGCTGAATCCAGTGGCCACAATATCTGTACATGTGCGTGTAAAACACGAAACGCAACAGATGAAGAACTCTGGTAGAGCGTACTAGGTCTGGCCCTCTTCCTGCCCCCCTCCCCCTCCTCACACAATATTTCCAAATACCATTATTCCTTCAGTCGAAGAAACTTCACCTTCGTAGGCAGGTTATCTTATAAAGAATGACAATAAATTCTTAAGAATTATCTAACAACTTGAGTGCATAGATAGACCAGGACATAACCTAGGAAAATAGCTGCATAGCACAGATCTAGAAGCCGAACAGCAGCACAAAACATTTCCGACCATTCGTAACAAATCGCGTCGTGGTGAATCAACAGCGTCAGTTCGATAAAAAGACGTACCTGAAATGGCGCCCTGTGTTGTTATTATGAACAGGCGACAAGCGACACCCTCGTTCGATCCAAACTCTTCAGTAAATAGCTAAAGTTTCGCCAGAATTCCGCACAAGAGACGAAGAACACGATCACTCGACCGCCATGATGATACCTCGTCAGCTGGACTGTGGGTAAACTTTGCTGGGTCAATTTTCAAACCGACAAAAGCAAGCGGGGTGAATACTAAACACAGTGTACAATTCTTATTCTTCAATTATTCATATACGATTGTAAATTATCGATTAATCAATAATCGTACTATTGATATCTTTTTTGTTATGACAAATGCGATTGGTCAAAGTTGCCAGACCCTGACCAATGAAGAGCTGTGATAGAAAAAGTACGACTGCACGAAAACAAAGATGGCGTCGGATGGTGATGTTGTGTTCAGTCGAGAGCAGGTATTTTGTGTTTAAATATTTTCTACTCTGTCGAGGTAACCTTAATCGCGGTATATTGGTGTGACATAGGGTTAGAATTATGACATTAACCTATTTAGCTCACGCACTGCTCTGGAACACTGCATAAAAACTGCTGAAAAGGTCAAGGTGGGAGGGGGGCGCTCACAAACACCCGTCTCACACGTGGGTTTTTACAGTACACATCAACGCAGATTGAAACCTGTCAAAATTTAGAGTTAACACGTCAAGGTCCTTTGCTTATAAAATACCTGCTTTTTAATGTTAGACATTATGAAAGGGTAATGCAAAAGAATAAATGAAATGAAAATTCTGAAATCCCCTGGCTACATGTAGCCGAGCTGTATCATATTACACTGAGTCTAATTCTGCAACAGTTTGCTACCAGGCAGCCGAGCAGCTATTGTATTACAACCGTTGCTTCAACTGTGACCTTGCCATTTTCAGTTTGGTGTGATACTCAAATACCGTCAACTTGCAGTATTTAATTTACTTATTCTCCTAACTTCTTGACTGTTTTTCAGGATGGAAATGATTCGGACATTTGGGATGACAGTGCCTTGATACAGGCATATGACAGGGCTGTTCAAGCAATGAAGGTTAGTGGTCTGATCTCTTTTACACACATCTATTCTAGAACCCATCTTATTCTAGCCCCAGGCAGCTTGTCTGATCACTTTATTAGCAGGTGCCATACTAGTTGCAGGGATGCAATCAGAAGAGAGACTTCTACCTTGAATAAAATGGATACCAGGCTTTGACATACATGTAACGCAAGGTTACCAGTTTACGTGCAGGACCAGTTTACGGTCAGTTAGTGACACGACTGCACTTTGAGATGTATCATCCACAAATCAATGGTCGTGTTCATGTATATTAGTTTTACTGGATAGTCACTAAGTAGTCCAAGAAGTAGCAAGGGCAGAAATGGTATTGTCCAGTCAGCACCCAGGACAGAAACTGTCCAATCAGCACCAAGGACAGGAACATGATCGTCCAATCAGCACTAAAGACTAAATGGGATGATCCTATCAGCACCAAGGACAGGAGCATGATCGTCCAATCAGCACTAAAGACTAAATGGGATGATCCTATCAGCACCAAGGACAGGAACATTATCGTCCAATCAGCACCAAAGACTCAAAGGGATGATCCAATCAGCACAAAGGACAGAGCTGCATTGACGTCTCAATAAAATGTTAAATGTTCTGTGGATATTAGTACTTGTATGAATTTAATAGTGTAGTTTGATAGGTATAGTGATAATTTTTTTGCTTCAAATACACATCAATGCTCCACTTTTTATAATATTCTGGAATGGTCACTTCCAAAGATATGGAAACATGCTTGTCATACATATAAACCTTAGTATCTGTTAATGCTGTGTATCGGTTTGCTGAAAAAAATCATGTCACATTCCCCTTTTTGTTCTAAACCACTTGAAATCATCAATAGTTGAAAATTTGCAAGTTGCAAAATTAAGAAAACATTGCCATTGGGCATCGTCAAGTGTCGGCTTCTGTAAATTTACATTGGTTTAGGTACACAGCACTAGTATCTATATGTTCATAAGCGACATATTCCTTGGGTTCAGCCCAGGGCTTATGAATAGTCTTTACAGTCTTTATGGGCATATTTATTAATAGAAGTAAGATGATCCATTTAATAATGGGATCTGCGAAGGTGAAAGGGTGCCCAAATATTTCCCAAGTTTTATTTCCCAAGTTTTATTGAGGGAATAGGTTTGCACTCACAACCTTAGGTATAATGACCCTAGATGAAACGGTTCACCTTCTGATATGTCATAGCGCATCCTCTGACCTAGCACTACAAATAAAGTAATAAAATAATGTACTACCATGACTGCATGAGGGGATCGTTCGGAACTAAGTATGGAAATACATGTAATTGTCAAATCCTTCCTATATCTTTCAGTGCATAAGGACAGTGCATAAGAGTTCCATTTCTATATATTATATAGCAATTGAGCCACACAGGAGCCACTATAATAGGAGGCTAATTCCATTTATACAGGTAGTGGTGTGTGTTCAACATCTATCATCTCTACCAACTAGGTTTTTTAGTGCCACTTAAAGTATGATAGCAGACATTGTTCAAGATACCATTTTGAACTATAAATGATATTATTATGTTTTGATTGTATTTCCACAGATAGCTCTGGACAATGATGTAGAGATAGATGACTCAAAGGAAAAAGAAGGCGACAGCATCACAAATGAAACAGATGACAAAACGGAAGAAACTGATGACAAGAAGGAAGATATGGGCAACAAAGAGGAAGGAGACAATGACAAAAACACTGTGACAAATGACAAAACAGATTGTAAAGCTGCAGTAGAAGCTGAAGTCTCAAGTTCGTCCACGGTGAAGAAAAAGACAAAAAAGAAGGGAAAATCCAAAGGAATTCATAGGGTATGTACATTTTTGTGCACCTCTCAACTCACCAGTCCCGCAAGCATTTGCTCTGTTACAGCCTTGAAATTGATTGATTATGTTACTACAAAAGTCAAGTGCCATGTGATTTTACAGTATGTTTTATATCAGCTGAGATGACATGTACAGCATAAAGCAACATTGATGATAATTATAACAATGTACTACATTGTAGTATGTTGCAAAATTAATGGTGGCATTACCAGTTGCCACCATGACTGTACAACATAAAACATCAACAGATTAATATGCACATAATTCCTCCAGGTACGTGGTGTTATCAAGACGTGATAGTCTGAAAAATTCATATCCCTGGGGTTACTGTTGTTGCATTAGCAGAGCTCTTCATCATTTTTTTTCTTCTTAAACTGGCAGTCTTAGAGTACCCAGTCTTAAGGTACTAGTGCAAGTTTGAAAATAGAAAGAATTTGCTATCCTCAATGTACACACCTACAAGTTTGTAAATGATCATGGTTAAAAGAATTAAAACAGACAAGCAACTGTAGAGACTTACTCTTTGTTATGCCTGTGGGAAATTTCATTCAAGGCTTTTCACCATTATTTTAACTCATAAACTCGTTCATTTCTCCCAAAAGGTTCTGTCAAACATGAAAGTAATCAAAAGTGAAGGGCTCTTTCTATAATTGGGCAGTATTGTCAGTGGCCATGCTTTTAGTGCTACAGTAATGGTAATTACCTGCAGCTGGGAGAGAGAAATTGTATTGTTGAGACAAGTTTTTGACAGGTTTATGTATAGGGATGGAGTACCTTATATATATTGTCACTTCAATACAAAGAATGAAAAAAGAAATTTACCAGTAGGCATTGAAATTTGTACTGCTTTGCAGTCTAAATAGCATCATCTGTGCGCCACCCTCTGTAGTTACTGCCAGTAACTGTACAGGAATGGTCATGTCAACAGGTCATAAGATTGAATGACTTGTCACTGACATTAGTGTAAATATTCCTGGTTAATGTAACAACATTGTATAACATCTAATAGCAGTATGACCTGCAGTGTATGGCTTCTCTGGAGTACAAGACCAACTCTATTTATCAAGGCTTTGCTTGCTTGATCCTGTCCTGTAGGGGGGATGAAATAATACAGATGAGTGGGAGGGTTGCCTTGAGGAGAGTAATACAGCACTATCCTGGCTATAGATCTTCAGTATAGGGAGGACATACATTGTAGATTGTATGTAACAATGAAGCCTTGGGAGGAAATACCATCAAACTTTGAAGTGATGCTGCTAGGGCTTGTATTACTAGTATACAGTTCTTTAGGCATAGACTTTATCAAAGACCTCATTGCATGCTGGGAGATATGGGGCATGATGGGTAGTGCAACATTACCATGACAATAGGACAGACCAGATACTGTACACAATGTCACCTACACATTATCATGCATCGTAATGAATTTGATGTTGTTTGCTACCCTAGCCTGCACTGCCCATATAATGCCCTGTGCAATGCCACTACACAGCTGCATGTCCCAGCATGTGTATATGTGTGTATGTGGCACCATTGCAGCAAATTGGTAAAGTTCTGAGTATCACAAGTCTGTTCTGCATGTATGTTCCAGTGGAAGCCAGGAGACCAGTGCATTGCCATGTACTCTGAAGACCAGCTGTGGTACCCGGCTGAGATCCTCTCCATCAACCCACAGAGAAGAACGTGCCTTGTGAGGTTTGCAACTTTCATCATTCAAGCCATTTTACAGAAGAATTGATTCTGCTATATATAGAAAATCACATGTAGCAAGTACTGACAAATAATCAAAGGTCTTTATCCTTCAGTATTATAATAAATGCAACACATATAATGTGTCCTCTATCTCTCAGATATACAGACTATGGTAATGAGGAGGAACAGAACCTGAAGGACCTGTCCTCCCTGGACCAGGAGGGAGAATTTGTACAGATTTACAACGGAAATACAGCTGTAGAGGTAAGGTCTTCAACAGGGAGTTATAATATATGAATATCTTGTTTGGATATGGTGTACAAGTTAACTATATGTAACTGCCCTGTAGACTTGCCATGCTCCATGGAGTGGCTGCCAACAAGTTATAATTATGGTATGGGGTCATCCTTGGGTTTGGAGCTCTGAGCAGAGTTGCTGATGCTGCCACCAATTTGCAATGTTGGCCGACAGACACAAAAACACAGCCCTCACACAGATGAGGTTCACTCTAGATTGACCCTGCCTTGTGACCTGAGTACTTGATTTGAAATGCTATTTTATTTTTGATATATAGACTGGCAGTGTAGAAGACCAATAACTATACAAGACAGCTGAATGAGATTTTTCTTGATTTCTAGGATAGTTCAGAGTCTAGGAAATGGAGACAGTATAAAAACTCAGAAGCAGGCGGTGGCCCATCCCAGTATGAATCATGGTGGAGGGATTATCACAAGAAGTATGGAGGGCACCAGCCTCACTTCCCCCCACCCCCCTCAGGACAGGGTCATGGCTCACAGGTCAGTACTATTAACCAATCAATCAATTAGTCAGTAAGTCAACTGGCCGTAGTACTAGAAACAGCGAGATGCTAGACTGTCCGAGAGCAAGAACGAATAGATACAAGAACTCGCCCATACCGTTTATGGTCCAGCTCCTCAATAACCATGGACTGAACCCCTGACTGTTGTTTTTCTAATATGTAGCACACTGTTTCTGTATCAAATGTTGTCCGGGAAATTTATAATGTATGGAACATGTATTTTTATTGGTTTGGTAATCGTACGTCTATATTGATTGAAAACCTGTAGTTTTTAATATACCAATGCTTTGTAAATTGGTCTACAATTCAGTTGTTTTTTAACTGCGAAGAACCAATAAATCCATCTTGAATCTTGAATCTTGAATCTAATCAATCTTCATTCAAACCAACCTGGTACTTTTGCATTGGCCAGGTTCTGTGTTTGCAGGTATGTGAAATGTGCTGCAATCAGTTTTTCTTCAATTTCTTGAAACCTCCCTGAGCTCTCTTGCTGTTGTAATGTCCTCTGTGCCTGAGAGGATGCTGAGCCAGTTTGTCCAGTCTCATGATTTGCCCGTTGTCTGTGGCTCAGACCAACATTGGGAATTCCTAGGCTATCCATGGGGAGGTAACCATGCTGAAACCACTTCAACCTTTAGCTAAAATAGCTTACTATTAACATGACAACTTACATGTAGTATAAAACAGTTACTGTAATTCGTATACCAGAACACAATTTTGTAGCAGGTCCAGCACTCACATACACAATGTAATGAGTTTATGTTTGACAGTTACTAAATTAACCAAATCTTTAATTACATACAAGGTAGTCTGCATGAAAGAAAGCTGGCTGCATGATAAAATGCAAAAAAATTAGTACACATATCAAATGTGTTTTTCCCATACATACATGTATATCATCTACTGTACATAGTTATGCACAGATGGATCCCATAGACTTGTATTATGAAAAATGATCAACCAGCTCTACCTCACCTGGTCTGATCTAGCCTGGTTTAATCCCCTGGAGGAAAGCCAATCTTCCATGAAGCATGTCCAGGCTGGGCTGCCAGGCTTTCTACTTTTCGATTGAGGGCAAGACAACATGGCTTTTTTTTTACTTGATGTTATGGATGACTTGCATCTATCAAATATTAATACCATTAGTCTCAGTTGCAGTTTAGATGAACATTAGTGAGCTCTTATCTTCTCACTGTTATACATGTTACAGGTTAGGGGTATGACCCTTATAACTAATGCATAGGTCTGATGAATGTAGCAGATGGGTCTTGAGATTTTTCTTCTGTTCTAGAGACACCCACTGTAGGTTTGTTTTAAGTTTGGTGACACTAGCACCAAGACCCCTTGTAATATTTGTTCATACACTATAGCTGTACATGCTGTCTGGCATCTTGGTTCTGTACATGTAACTTTTCAGTTCATCTTTGTCTTTAATAATAATATAATTTCAGCATATTCTAGGTTTGGTAACTTGTAATGGAATACATTGTCTAACCAAGGATACCAGGAATCAAACCCATGACCATAAGTTTCCACTACTCGTAGCCCATCCACTCAACCATCAGTGTCAAAACAACTGACAAAGGAAAACATTATCTCAAACAACTGACCATAATTCACAATCAAGCCTTTCGATTAACTATAATTCTTTTGACCCTCTGGAGGATGCATCTAGTGGGCAGTCGAATCTTCATCAAGAAAGCTAATGTGAATGTAGGGAGAATACAGGAGACTGTGCCGAATCAATATTGGCAAGGCTATTGCTGCACATGAATAATTGTGTGATCTGTCATTCTGCTTCATTGTGTTCAAGCTTAATGTTTTGTTAGCCACAGAATGCAAGGCACTTTTGCCATCTTACACACAGCTAATGACGTCAATGCTACTCTAACAGTCTCTTAAACTTGGGAGATCAATAAGGCTACAGACCACAGTTATTGCAGCCTGAATGTATATTAACATTGTGTCTTTCTTTGGTACCTGAATGGTGTCCTTTCTCTGATTCTGGATGGACATCATCATCGCAGTAGAATAGTTTGTTGTAAAGGTTTCCATCTTTTTAAAGAGATACTGACAAATATAAGATTGGAAATATTGACATATGATACTCTGTTGGGTTACAGTGCAAGGTTGCCCATAGGAAAGTAGTATTCACACACATGCCTGTAATTTCCAATAGCTTAGTCGCAGCAGTTATATTACATGGAAAAAAGTATAATACTGCACGCATTTACAGGGGAAACATGAACTTTCTGTGATCAAACATCATTGAACATGGTTGGGGTGTGAAAAAAGTCTAGGGGCACTCTGAAAATACACACTCTAACTCAAGCCAGGGCAGCCATTATCCAACAGAGCACTTTCTTTTCTGCTGACTTTGCTACGTGTATATAAACCATATTTATTGATTTGTTTCCTAGTAAAGGATATTGTTATTGCCAGAAGATTCATTGCTTAGATAACTGTGTATCGTATGTGAACATTTTTGTTTACTTTATAATAGGAACAGCTTAATAATACATTACAGTGAATGGAAGTTAGTCTAAAAAACTTGCAGGCTCCAAAAGGCAGCTTGCAGAAAAATATTGAATTTTATGATTGGAGAAAAGATATGAATAACTTGCAATTTGTCATGCAAGGTACATGTAGTATATTTCAGAAAAGTAGTCCAAGACTACATGTATCAACTGGAGATGATGGCATTTTTCCAAGAAATTTAGCCATTCTTCGTTAGCAGGTCTCTCACAGGAAATAGATGTTGGGGCGAGATTGCAATTTAAAACCTGCTGTGAAAATATAGCCGGCTCTGCGGGCTTTATTGATGAGAAGTTAACCGAGGTTGGAAAGCAGGCAGCAGGAGGAGGATACGCTTGGAAGCACTTTTTCCTGCCAGCAGGGGTGGGATTGTTAAACAATTGCTTGGGAAAATGGCACTGTGGTCGTTATCTATAAAAGGGATGGGCAGCTAGGGGTACAAAATCAATACAAGCAATGGGTACTGAATCATGCCCTCTACCACACTAAACCAATTGCCATCACCTGAGTGGTATTTTGACCTTGAACTTGTTTGTAAGGGTGTGAGTATGGGAGCCCCAGTAAACTGATTAGGATGGCACCCAGGCTACAATCACCCACCCAACCCCCATTCTTTATCATTTATGATTGAATTATGTAGAAGATTCTGGCTCACAGTGGTGAAACCTGTGATTTTAAATTAATGATATTTTTGCATCATGAGTCATTTTCAAATTGTAAATTTTCAAAGTTTAATTTCCATCTGAATGTGTTTGCAATCATCTAACAAAAATTGGACTGACAATTTGATGCCTTGTGTAATACTACATGTATGATAAAACAATGGAATACTGTGACAATGTGATATAGGTACTAGGTAATTGTCACAGAGATCTTGAACTTACTTAATTGCAAATATTTAATTGGAAGTCGAGTTTGCCAGTTGAAAAAATCTGTAAACATTGAATGAATGGTATACTGCACAGAAAAACTTTAAATTTAGAAATTTTCACAGTGAAGTACAAGTTCACAATATTTGCAGTGACCATTCATGCAAAGTAAACACATCACAATGAGAATGTATAAGGGTCTGACAGCAATTGTTTAAAACTATTCAATTTTATTGTACCACAAAATTTAAGTGCTGTAGACTTGAATGAATGTACAGTATCTGTAGCACTACCTGCTCACATGTGGTTCTTAAGTTTGCATGAAGATTGATTGTATCCAACCCAACTACCATGCACAGATCAATGTGCCTTTAAAAGGAATGCTCACAAAGCAGAAAGTAGGCATGAGGAATCAGGTATAATCTTCAAGTTTCTTGCAGGTAATGTAAATATATGGCAGAATTGCCCCCCTCCAGACAAGAAAACAGTGCTAATGGTGTACATAAATTCAACTCTTATATTACCGAACATTGTTCTCTTAGACTTTAAACAGAAATAGATGACTGAACTCTGGTGCTCTCAAGTTCTTCCAGACTTTTCTTAGTTCAAGGTTGTTCTCAGCCACATGACTCAGTCTATAGACTTAACTGATTGTCATCAAACTTTCTGCTGCTCAATAGATGTGACTGCATGATTCATCAGATAGAGAGAGTCGCATGACTGTGGGAAGTCCATCAAACTTGTACCAGACTTCCTGACTACACTCCCAAGTCCGACAAAGCCCCATTGAGTCCCATAATGTCCACATTGTGATAGATTGGTGCTGACTGTGACTGAGCATTATTGATGAAATCTATCGGCAGTTGTCTGGCTGCATATCCTATGAGACTAATCAAATTATAAAATTATTGTCCTGTCAGCAGGTCCGTTCCATATTGGAATGTCATCAGATTAAGGACAAAATTTCAAGGCATCTGATTTACAATACAATTATACAGATCTGACTGCATAATTTGAAGTGATCAAGTAACTGTTCTTCAAACTTTGTACATTTTGTACAGACAAGATTTATTGTTACTCTGATTTAAGTATATATATTGGTAGAAGAGAGCCATTAAAACTGTAACTTTCAAACATTAGCACATTTTATAAATCCACAGAACCAATAGATTTATGTTTGATATGATTCATCCCTTGATGAACAATGCACTGTCAAAAATTTGGGCAATGTCCAATTTCTTTATGTTACATTACAGTTTTAACTGTATCCACAATGTCTATTCTCTTCCTCAGCAAATTCCCCCACCCCCACCATTCCCCTGGGCGGGGAACATGCCAGGGTTCCCCATGTGGCCCCCACGGCCAGGCAGACAGGAATCACCACTACCACCTCCTCCACTACAGGTCAGTATGCCCCATGTTTGACCTGACAGGTACTATTGTCACTTGGATGTTGTACAGCTGAGGGCTTGAAGTACATGTACTAGTGGCTGGTAAAATTAGAGTTGTGAAGGCACCTGGATTGATATTTTGTAGGTGAGTAGGTCTTGGGAACACGAAATCCTATAATTCTAATGTTTTCTTAATAGGACCTCTGTCAATACCATTTAACATGTAATTTAAGGTGGAACATAAAAAAGGTAACAGATGCAAACAAGGGCCTAGCTTGCATGACTGATGTAAAAATATTTAAATTCTTTGAGGTAAATGATGGGAATTACTAGTATATACTTGTGGGATATACATGCGTAGGTTGGTTAAAGGTGTACATCACCATGCAACATTATGTAAATGTGGAAGTTGTTTGCATAAATAGAAATTTACAAAAGCTCTAAATATCTCACAGAAGTATGAAATCTTCAAAGTCTTGGTATTTATTGTAACTAATGACGTTATGACCCGTGAAGAGCATTGCAGTTTTTTTTAACAAATCCAGTTCGCTCCATATTATATTCTGTGTCTTCACAACAGCTACATTGTAAATCACATCAGGCAGCCTCATTCTCTTCCTATCTTTGAGTTGCTATCATGTGTTGCTGAATGTGAATTATACCCACTGACCTGTAGCATGCCCCTTAGTTGTTACTTTGTCTGCTGGTACCCAGTCCAATTAGTGTTGCAACAGAAACCTGTTAAGAGCTGTTCTTTTAGATGATCTACTTCACGAAGGTGGAATAAAAGGGTCAGCAAGTTTCAGTAATTGGGCAGTGCTTTAAATTAGAGAATCCTTACCATGCGCTCCTCTGTGATAGTCCTCATGTGCCTTGTTTTCTAATTAGCTTTGCCTAGAAGGATGATATGTTTTGGGGACATATTACCATATCGAAAACCAAGTAGATGACAGGAGGGAAAGACCAAACAAAACACAATTCTTTACCCGCTAATATTCAAATATACATGTATCTTCTTCATGTTACAAAGAGCTCACAGATACATAACAATTATAAGCAGTGTGTATCTTAGTCCAGGTATCAACAAAACAAAGATTAGATTATAGGCCACTGAAAATAGGTGACTGAAAATGTTCCAAGGAGCCATTGTATAATGTACATTATGTCTTTGACCTTATGAAAGTTACTTTTCTTCTTGTTGCATCAATGAATGTCCATTTATGTGCAGTTTTAGTACAATTTCTGTGAGTTGTAACTGATCTCAAAACTGTCACAATTTATTGAATTGCTTAATATAGACTGTAAGTACCTTGCATTACACCCAGTCTGAGTGTCGTTGACCCTACATCATCCATCAGACTGAGCAATCAGGATCATGTAATTTTCAGTGCTGATTAATGTATGTAGAAGGACAGCTCTGCAGATGTTCCTGTGAACCTGTGCACAGGTCAGCAGCGGGGGTCATGTGATGTGTGCAGCAGGAGACAGTACAATTAGACCCAATCAGCTGTCTCGCCTGCCTCTGTACAGAAGTGATGGCGTGCATCATTGGTCCTATTTATCATGGCTTAACCCTTTTTCTGTGTGTGTACATGTAAGTAACACTAATTCTCCCTGCTACCAGCAGTTGATCAGGAGCCTGCAGTTCTGTTATACATCACCATGAAGATGTCCATGCCTAAAAAGGAACCTACCAGTATATGAAATTCAAACTTTAGACAGTCTTTTATATCAACTTCCAAAGTTTGCATTTGATATGAAGTGATGGACCTATCTCACCCATTTCTGTGAGGAACAAGATCATTATTTTCTGTGTGAATGCTATCCAGCCTGCAGAAGTCCAGACTATTGGCTATCCCATTTGAAATGCAATGCTATGAAGTAAGATTTATACCACTCCAGATAGCTTCCAATGACTCCAGTGATAGTACCTTTCTATCTTATTTAACTTATATGGGAACTTCATAAAATGTTCGCAGTATCATACTATAATAGTGCTCTCAGTAAGGGAAATGACTTTGTATTATGTTTGTCATAGTGAATTGAAGATCGCTTAAAGCAATGTCTCTACATGTGATGGATGAAAGGGTTCTTTCTTTTCCTGTACCTTTAGTTTTTTTCATTTATACTTCAATTGCTAGTGTCTCTGCCCCTGAAAGTGGGACATAAGAAATATCTTTGTGGGCCCTCTTGGTGAAGCATGATGCTTATCTTAAAGTAGCTAATGGTAGTACAATGTGACTTTGCTACAGCTTACATTTTCAGTCAAGAACACCGGGTCACCCCCTCTCTTCATGATAAGCAAAGGCTGATGCCTGAACCTCCCCCCATACACTGGGCCTCTGTCTCCCTAGCTGAAAAGATTAATAATTTTATTAATACCCTAGCAGCAGGGCTTGAACCTTTGCCCTCTGGAAAACTTAAGGAATCTTAATTTGTTATTAGCCATTGGTATTCCTCAAAAGCCCCACAAATACAAGAAAGAGATACAAATGTATATTGTTTTGCTGTGCTTTATCAGTTTATGCACAGAGGAATTTTTAGTGGTATGCGTCACATCATCACATCAGTCAGGGTATTCCATACATGTACTTCCCTGTGTTTCAGAAGATGCCACCCCTGCCTCCACCCCCGGCTGTTACAGATGGTTTAGAAGATGATGACTCACTAGCCTGTATGCTAATGGCCTGGTACATGAGTGGCTACCATACTGGGTATTACCAGGTCAGTAACCACAATACACCTACTTGTGTATGCCATCATTGCAAAATGTAGACTGATACAAATAGGTACTCGCTATGTGTGTACCTCGTATAAAGTTGACATGTTTTGCATGCATTTGGCATTTTATTAAATAATCTGTGGATCATTATGTAGATACATTGCAACTGGATGACTGTAGTCTTTTTTACCGGACTGTTATGCACATACTTCTCTACAGATGATACATGTAGGGATAATACATGTAGGATACATAAATATACAAATTTTGTCATTAATATAAGAAAAGTTTTGTCTACTGACATACATTTTGTGAAGTTCTTATTGATGTTTTTGTTTGTTTGACAGGGTTTGAAAGATGCCAAGACAGGAGGAAGACCAAGTAGATTAGGTAGTCAATCGCCAGGCTCTCAACACTCCAACAGTGCAGGGAGATGGGGGTGGGAATAGTCCTACATGAACTGACAGGCTAGAACGTACATGTGGTAGGGCTGTAATCATAGGACTAGTCATGCCTCCTAGCAGACAGGAATGGAAGTGCAGAGCCTTTGTGACAGACATTGTGATTTTTGTTTTGTTTGCACAAACTATGTTATGTTTGTACAGTTAACCAATGTTACTCTGTCTTGAAAGTTTATCTGTGTTAGTAGTCATCCTGATGAAGAAAATTTTGAACTGTAATTTCCCACACAAAAATTGGACGTACCCATTGTACAACCCCAGTCAGTACTGTTGTAATAATGTTTGATATTTACTTGCACAGAACCCATTCCAATGTGACTGTAAGGTTTGGTGCCACCATGATGCACAGCAGAAATGTAGAACCCATGTCGATGGTGAATTTCATACAACTAGATGGGCATGTCAGTTTGTAAGAATGGACATGGGATTCTCAAGCAGTACTGTTCTAAAAAGGGATATTATATAAACCAAACATTCTCAGTATGGTTTGTCTTTGTCTCCATAGTTGTTGCAAAGGGACACTTTCAAAGAAAGCTTTCAATTGTCAGTATTACACCTTGTATGGTCTTTCATCTCAACTATTCTCAACTATTTCAAGTTAGATGTCATTTAGTTTTAAATCAGATGAAAAGGGGTACATGTGCCATAATCAACTGATTGTGTAGCTACTAACTATAGGAAAAGAGCCAATCATGAAACTCTATATTTGTAATAACTATACTTTCCAACAGTTTTAATAAAACTGAAAGTCGCTAAGATCAAATCGGTAGCCAATTGACATGCTAATATTTGTATTGACAACTCACTGATGTTCATTACATGGGAATCAGCATGCCTTGTAAGGTAAAAAGAAACAGTTGTGCAGTGAGTTATTTCCAACACATTGTGACATACAGTTCATAATACAACTTTATTTATCAAATTTAATCTCAACTTATAAAGATCCTCTGAATCTACTGCCAAAGCATTTCTCCATCCCTTTGCAAGAATCTGCATAACCCCTACTTCCTACATTTGCATTGATACAAGACAAGGTCCATTTGCTACAGATGGAGCAACGCCAGTGATAAATAGAAGGCGTTTAAGTTGTCGATGTTGACCCCACAATAACCATGGTGATGGTAGCCATGGTGATCATGCTGCTTCCTGGAATGACACCGCCGTTACTTCCTGTTTGCGTGCCGTTCCCGGCTGCCGGGCTGTTCTGGTTGCCACCTCCACCCCCGCCCTGAGCCGTGCCGCTGCAGGTGTCATCTCTGATGGCGACAGTAGGGTCGTCTGGCAGGCAGCCGTCTGGAGGGGGGAAAACACTTATTGGTATCAAACACTTGCAAACGTAGATAAGGCCACAGCAAGTAATTTTTATGGATGACATCAGAGCGCACATTGATGTTCATCTGATTTTGGGGAAAAAAAACAAGAAATTTTGTTGCCTTTTGACAGTGGACAACATGCCAAAAATATGTCTGTTGGCAGTTGTAGTGTTGCCATGCCGGAACTTGGATGACAAATGCGAAGAAAGGAAACAAGACAAGGCTCTGATTTAATGTTTTGTCTTTTACTTTGTTACAGTGTTGTATTTCATGCCTTTATATATGATGTTGCAGGTGAATCAAAAAAATCTTGTTTAATAAGGTTTATGATCTCAAAATTTGAAAATATAGAAATCTTTTTTTTTTTGTCTGCCTTTTGTCGCCCTATCGCATTAGATTTGGAGTCTGCGGGTGATGTCATGCATGAAATTTACTCGCTGTGGCCTAAAGAGAATTGCAAAAGAATGGCGAGAAAGACATGAAGGCATTTTACCCAGTTACTGAACAGAAAAGAAAACTGACCCGTGCCGCAAGTCGTCTGGCACTCCTGTGTATCCTGCGCCTGTGCACACCCCTGGTTACCCTGGACGTCACTGCACCTGCGCTGGAAACTCAGAACGATGGGAAGGGCGTCACCTGTTCAGGAAAGGGCAAGTTTAGTAATGTGGGTTTAGGTCTTGCTGTTTTGTATGGTTGAAGTAGTTACGTGTGGGTTACTGAAAGAATGGAGCAAGTCTACGAAAGCCACGCCTTCCGCACTGGTGTTCCATTTTAGTAGCCGAAACGGCGTCAGCACTGAAAAGGGCCGGGCCGCTGGGAGACTGCATTTACTCCGTTTCCAGAACAGAAGATTCACCAGCACTCGTTTTCAACTCTCGGTTTCCAGTGTTGACCGCAGGTTTTCTAGTGCTGAGGCACTCTCAGCACTGGAAGCCTAGTGCTGGCGGCAATTTAGCTCTGGAACCCCATTGCTGAAGCCACTTTCCGCACTGGAACCGAGTGATGTGAAAGGGGAGCGTGGTTTTCGTAGTTTTGTAAGAATGAATGAACCAGGCAATGAATGAATGAATGTTCTCCTGACCCCTCATGGTGGCGCTGACGGCGGCCTCACACCGCGTGGTGTTGGCCGGGCAGGCGGTGGCCGATGGAGGGTCGGTGATACATGTGACGTCATCAGGGTCCTGATCGTCCGGGAACATGCACTGGGAACAGTCTATAGCGGCCACTGGTAGGGCGGGACAGGAAATACAGCACCAGCTTAGAGTATTTGTAACGTAACATCACACAGAATCACATCAAGACGATAAAGTTTAACTGAAATGTTAAGATCATCAATAAGATTGTTGATATACAGTTTAAAATGTCAAGGTCACTAGTCCACAGTCATCTTTTCTCCATGTTTAATTTTGTCATTCCTGATCAATGGAATTGTCCTTTCTTCTTTCTGATCGACCAGTCAGAATTAGCTTAAAGGGATACCAAACGTGTTTTCTCTGGGAGAACATATGGGAGAATGGACCCGACAAATGCGACCAAACGAATTCTTACTAAACTTGTGGTGATATTTTTTCTTGCATATGGCTATATGGCGTATACCCGCTAATTATATTACGTTATATAACTAGCAATAACATCATCTGGCTATAATTAAAAATCTATTTCTCATCTGTCTTACCTTGTTTGGAAAGAAGAGAAATGATGAAGAGAATATGGGTGTTCATGCCGCTGACTTTAACTTTGGCACCCAAATGTCACAGCAGGTTACGGTGTAGTGACTATCTGCAGTTTATCCTGAAACGCTGGGTAATGAAACAAATGACGTTTTGTTTTCATAGTTTGTTGTAAGAGTTAATGGTACGTTCTACAGTTTGGTAACACAGCTCGGATAAGATAAATTAAAACCATTCATGATGTAATCTTTTTCTCTTTTTATTTATTTTTCTCTTTCTCAATGATCATAGACATGAAGGTTGGTGAAGGTAATGTTACTAATGATACTGTTAGTACCGGCAGCGTTAACAATGGAATTGATAGTTGATGTAGTTTACGAAAAGATACAATAGATAAAGACTAACAGACCAAACACAATTTACATAACCGACAGCCGTACACAAATGGATATCCTGATAAAGTATCAAGTATGAAATAATCGACAACCGTACATACAAAGTCAACCACACCTCCAAAATATATCCCCACAGCCATTAACAAAACCCACATACTAGTATCCAAATCATATCAGAATATAAAACATAGCAACATAAACAAGGAATATTCAAACGAAGCATTCAGCACCAAGGACAGAGAAACACAATCAGCATAACAGCCAAATATAACAACAAGGAAGGCAATAGAAATCATCACCATGGCGACGGATTGAATGAAATTATCAAAACTGAACTGAACAGTGTTTAGAAAAATATTTACTGTGACGTGGAGCAGCGCTCTGCTATTAGTAAAATTAAAATCTTAGTGGCCCTTAGAAATCGAAAAAGGGCGATATATGAAACTACCTGTGTCACAGAGTATATGTAAATATTGCTCCTCAAATGCAGTGGAAGACGAAATTTATTTCACCACTAACTGCCAATTGTCCATGGGGTATGAGGAGGTCTACGACTGGGGGGGAGGAAGAGTTGAGGAGGGCTACAAATGGGGGTGGGGAAGAGTTGAGGAGGGCTACGAGTGGGGGTGGGGAAGAGTTGAGGAGGGCTACGAATGGGAGGTGGGGAAGAGTTGAGAAGGGATATCAGTTGAGAAGGGCTAATCCTCAGTGCCTAAAATGGCACCTTTTACATACAAAAAAAGTCCTTACTTGTTTCGACCAAAAACCACGCAGCCAAAGGCTACACCAAAACCAATTCCCCAGGGAACGCATTCGTACAATTTTTGAAATTCTTTCAAAGCGATCGTAGTACTAACGTTAGTACCTACACAAATGCCTCCGCCCCTAAGGCGTACCAGAGAGATAAATCAGCACCTAGGACAGAGAATCATGGTCCACTAGAGTTCCACGTGACGACCCCAGCATTATCATATCGGCCGGCCGGCTTGCCCGTGGTACTAAGTCTATACTCTCCAAGCAGAGGTTAGGGTTTTGGGGGTATTTTTAGCGTGTTTTTAGGCCTTTTTATCGGGGTTTCTCTTTTGCACTGAATTTTTTTCCCACCTTGGGTTTGGAGGGAAAAAAAATCAGTGCAAAAGAGAAACCCCGATAAAAAAGCCTAAAAACACGCTAAAAATACCCCCAAAACCCAAACCTCTGCTTGGAGAGTACTAAGTCTAATCTCTCTCTTTCTGTCTGTCTTTCTGTGTGTGTGTCTCTCTCTCTAAACCTCTCTCCAGACGCCCCGATCTGCTCATGTTCTTCCTTCAATCATGGCCTTTTATACCAAATGATGATAAAACATATATGTATGACTAACGTATCGTAACTACATGTATTTCTGTTAGGCTGATATACTAGTGATAAAAGCTATAATAGTAAGTAGCAATTCAACAAGTCGTAAAAACAAAATTTGCATCGGCCGGGAATCGAACCCGGGCCTCCCGCGTGGCAGGCGAGAATTCTACCACTGAACCACCGATGCGTCATGCCTGCTAGGTAACCATATAAGGTTATAAACGGAGATTTACTTTGGAAACAAGATGGCGTCTTGTGTTGGCACCAGTTGATGTGGGCTTTAGCTAACAAACTCGAAGAAAATAAACATTTCTGTGGCAAGAAATAGGTCAACAATCCTTCCACAGGTTTGTGTAAACTAAATTCCTACTTATTTTCTGCCTTGAATGTAATATGCCAGTCTTCAAGGTTGGGTCAGGTTGCATCCAGTCACGATCACCGAGTGCTGGGATGGTGCAAATTATGTGGGAGGGGGGCAAGTGGCAATAACGTTTATTTTATGAACTTATGTTCTCCTGCTACTGTTAAGTCATGGTTTAGGCGCTCAAACATTTTCTGTGCTGATGCTTGGATGTAAAATATAACGTTAGAGCTTATCTGTAAGGTATGGACTTTTTTGTGGGCGCGTACGTGTGTTTATGCACGTGTGTGTGTGTGTGATTGTTATTTGTGGGCGTGGACGTTTGTGTGTTTTGTGTCTATCAGATTCAGTGTGTGTTTGTGTGCGCGTGTTTGTGTGCATGTCTGTCTTTCTCTGTGTGTGTGTGTGTGCCTGTCTGTCTGTGTGTGCACGCATATGATAACTTGGTATGTCTCAAATGTGTCTCCAATAGTCTGTGTGTCGGTTATTAGTGAGTGAGTGAGTGAGTGAGTGAGTGAGTGAGTGAGTGAGTGAGTGAGTGAGTGAGTGAGTG